TATATGATAAAAATATAGTTTTATGTTTTGCTATATTTATCGGTTAAAGTTCTCAATATCAGGAATAGAGTGTATGTAAATATAAAAATGGACATTAAGGTCAACACTCAGAGATGACAGTGTTTTAGGCTTAAATTCAATCATCAGGCTATGTGCATTATAGGTAGGTCTATTCTATTATTCTAACAGTTATTTGGGTAGGTGGTAAGTTATGCTTCGAATTATTCTATTAAGTAGAAATAATTGATGATCCCAATGCAGTTTAGTGGTTATTTTATCGTGTTTGTTAACTTTTTTTTTTACTCATTATTTGTTGTTGGACATTATTACATTTACTTGTGTTTATATGTGAGTTTGTATAGTATTTACTTATTTATTTGGATTAATTTGTTTTACTTATTTGATTTTTTATTTATTTTTGTTTGTTTTTAATTTTTAAGTAACATACTAAAAATTTGTTTTCATGTCTGCATTTTGAGATGAGTTCTGATTGTTTATTTACTAATTTGGGTTGATCTGGGAAGATAATTATAAATATCTCCCCCTCCAGACAGAGTTTACATTTTTGGAGTTTATTGTTGTAGGCTGATGCTGTTTTCTTTATTTTCCATGATTTGTTAATTTCCCCAGGCATGTTTAGAAAACTATGTGCTGTTTGCATATTTACTGTCCATAAAGGATGTTTTGTGTGCATAGTTTCTTTGCTTCCAGGGTCCTTCAGTTACTCCTATGTATATTTTTTCTTTGTTATATGCTGATTTTACAGTGGCTTGGTATATTACATTATATTCCAAATATCATTAGAATACAATAAACCTACCCATAATGCACCATTGACCAGCATATATAGTCAAGTCAAATCAACGTACATAGCATGATGATTGTGTTTAAGCATGAAACAGACTATTGCTGTTAGGTGTTGACCACAATGTCCATTATATATATATATATATATATATATATACACACACACACACACACGTGTGCATGTAAATATAAAGTATTCAGATATAGTAATGTGGATTTGAAATCACAAGTATTATATCTCAGTACGTTTAGCAAAAAAAAAAAATTCAGTAATATTAGGCATAAATAAAGGACATGTCCAGCTAAAGTTGGATTAGATTACCTGACCATAGACAATTGGCAATCATTGCTGTAGTATGCTGAAGAGAAAATGGGTACTGCTAAATTGTAAAAATGTCAATGGAAACATCTTATGATGAACAGACAGAAGTATGATCAATTTAGGTGAAAGGAATATCGATATATAACTTGACAAAGAAAGAGCATGTGAGTTATAAACTTAAAAAATTACTTTTATAGATTGTTAATTGTAGATTTGAGTACGTAAAGTGGCAAATATTAAAGCTTTGTATCAAATAGACACTAAAAGTATCCAAGGAGATATCCTACATTTTATAAGATATCTTCACTTTAGTTTGGAATCAATCTTGTTTACTTAACACTGCTAAGACTTCTTAGATCATTACTCAAGTTAGTAAATTGACATGTTTTAATATGCTTACACAACAAATATTTATATTGACTTCACATTGTATTATCTGATACAAATGACTTCAAAGACCCAAGCTTACCAAACAACCATCAAACAGAAAATGAAAAACTTTGCCAAGGTATAGAATCAAAGAGGAACATAAACAAGAATTTTTCCCCCAAACATCTATGAATATATTTCCTATTTCTAATACACATTATAAAAATTATAAATTATTAATATCAAAGAAATGAAGAAAAGCTAGCTAACAGAAAATGTAGGAAATAACTGTTAAATGTTTACAGCCTTAATCATGAATTGAGTGCTTAAATTCACAAATTTTGTTGATGTTAACTTTGCTTAATTAAGAAGATACCCTGACTGCTTTATATTAAAAAAAGAAAGTTTTTTTTGTATTTTTCTCATTTTGGATTAAGAACTTGCATATTCTTTATAAACTTACTCCTGTTCACTTGAATCCTAAATATTTACTGATGCATATATGTTTTTTTATGCTATTTCTACTGACCACTTATCTATGCTTACAATAACTGAGAAATAATATGTAAACAGGATATGTATTAAGAAATTAATGATGGTAATTATATCAATTTTAAAACAGTAAAACAAAAATAATAAAGGAATGACTGTTTATAGTAGAATCTCATACAATAAGATACTGTGAATTTGTGTCCAATCGGCTGCTAAGTGTATCAGTTAGGAAAGCCCGCCTGTTTACAAACCTATTTCTGTATACGATGGTTGAAGAATTTAAACTTTATCTGATGTTGTACAATACTTATGCAATTTAAAGAAAGCATAGTTTTGTATTTTTTTCTCATCGATGTCTTTCACTTATAATGATGAAAAAAAAAAAAAAAAAAAAAAAGCATTTCTGCAGAATTCTCTTAAGAAGAGTACAGAAAAGTAAAGCAATGAAAAAGTTCATCAAAGTGCAAAGTGAAAATTATAAAAATTTGGCACAATTATTATCATATAAAAAAGAATATTGCATTACATAAAATATGGAAACTACAAAACACAATACCTTTTCAACCACTAAAAATTAGTGGAAAAAAAGTAGCTTAGTTAAGTGGTATTCCATAGAAATTTTGGACTTTTAAAAATATCCTCCCTTTATTTAAAGAGACAAATACGCTTTAGAAAATAAAAACAGTATCCATTTTTTTTTTCTTGTTTACTGAATTACAATATATAAACATGTACTGGAGAAGTAGATACACACACACAAAAAAAAAAAAAAAAAAACAGCTAAAATATTTTTAGATTATTTTCTGCAGTGTATCTCTTTTTTTTATCTCTCTTGTTTTCATAAAGTAATTTCATATTTTTGTTTTCAAAGAAAATTTTGACAACACAAATGTTATGGACAAAAAATGAAACATAATAATTTAATATTTTTGTAGCCCTTCCCGCCATCCTTCGAAAATTTACCTTTCCCTCCCCCATCCCCTTCCATCAAGGCAGCCAAACACAAAAAAACAACAATTGACCTCTGCAAGTGCCAGCAAAGAAAGTTAAGAATTCAAGAAAGCAGTAGCAATCTTGTCTCTTCACAAGCTAACATAAGACCAAGAAACACCACAATACAAAATAGAATATACAAAAGAAACATATACAGAAATAATATTCCATCATCCACTTGCTCTTCCTATTTTGCCCTCCAAAACTTCTGTTATTTATTGAAATATATACCAACCAGCTGTCAATATTAGTTATCCTCTATTTACCAAATTAAAATAGATTAGAAATAACGAATTAATGTAGGTATAAATCCAAGGCAGCATTTTGAGAATACATTCAATGAGAACTGCCAAATTCATTTATCATTTGAAGTAGTGTGTGATATGCAATTTGTATTAAAAGATTTAGAAGTTTTCTTTGCTTCTCAGTGAAAACTTAGCAATGGCATTTTTGACTTCCAAGTATCTCAATTCATATTCAATGGCTACAGCTTATAACAATGAACTTTGTCTTGGTCAACTTTATTACTTTCAGTGAGTCTGAGAAAAAAAAAAAAAAAATTTTTTTTTTTTTCAATATTTATATATTTAATCAGGTCACAATTCAGATTTTTGATTCCTGTTTAGTTTATCTTTCAGTCAATCTTAGGTTTATCTTTAGGTTATCTTTCATTAAAATTCACTACAGATTTATTGAGATATTTTATATAAGAAATAGTTAATTGGAAAATTTCAATGCTGTAAAATTTGTTTGGAAGATGTTCAGTGTTGAAAATGAACAAACACCACATTGGGATTTTAAAAAGAACACGAAAAAGGCTTTTACCCAAAGACAAAGGATTCAACTAAACAGGCACTTCCTCTGTAAATAACATGCATTCTTTTATTCACCCCAGGTTGATTTGAATTGATTAAAAATTTAGAAGTTATTGGGCCATTGGAAAGTAAGTTGCTAAAATATATGAATTGATATCCTGTCACAAAATGTATTTTTAATTTTTTCAAGGAGGATCATTTACTAGTATCAGGTATATTAAGGATATCCACAAGTATGTAACATTTTAAATAAGCAGCATTAAGTAAAAGTGAATACTATTTCGTTGGCTATCTAAGATTTAATAAGCATGCCATTACCAAAATAAAGTATGGAAGACTTCTATTTCCAAAATTTTTCTATATCTGAAAGTGAAATGAACAGGTCAATATTGTTTTATTACATAAAATGTATTTATCTGAAGTTATAATTTACTTATTTGGCGAAAGACACTATGAAAGTTAAACCGCTCTGATTCTTTAAAAACATTTAACAGAAAATGCAAGATATATCAAAATATATAAGCTGATACTTGACACAGATTATCTTGTAGTGAAAGTAATTATATATATATAAATGGTAAATTCCCTCAGTTTAGGCACAAGTAATAAAATGTCAAATCTGTCATTTGAGAAAGTCGATCGAGAAGAGCAATGGAGGGGTGCCAATAAAAAACATGACCCTCAATTAAGAGAACCACTCACCACCAAACCAAGTGCCAGTGATAATGACCAGCAATAAATTTCATTCCATTTCTATCCATAAAAATAGTTCCCATTTTTTTTTAAAAATGTAGTAATGAATATGTTGGTAGAAAAAAATGCATGTGTGTGGTTGTGACATGGCTATATAAGAATTCAGTGGATGAATAAGGCTAAAACAAACACTATGTTAGAAAAAAAAAAAAAAAAAATCAAATTAAAATAGTTAAAAATCAGATTCAGTGTTAAAAGTCAGGAGTCTTGCTCCTATTTTTCCTTTAAGGCCATTAATTTGTCCATTAAGTTGTCCATTAAGTTAACCCAGGCAGGAACGATTTCTTGCCTATGATTTTTTCAACAATATAAGAAATCACTGAATTGTGTGAAAAATATTTTTGATGCAGAAAACAGAGGACACATTAAATATTTTGAGTGTGTCTTCGGATGCAATTCACACAAAATCTAACCACAGCTATCACAGATGATAAAGTTGTATGACAATCTCATTCACGGAACAATGATTCCCCTTCACTTGATTGAGTGAAATTCCGAGCAAGCTCTGTCATTTCAATCTGATTTTTTGTTTTGCCACAAGCATGTTTGAAGAAATCATCAAGCTGAAAGAAAAAAAACAAGAGAAAAAGAAAACAAAGTTAAAAACTATAAACTCATTTTTTTAGTTATACGATAAGATAGCAATAACTATTGCAATAATATAGCAAATTGAAATTGTAGTAATTTTATTATCACTTTGCTCCAAAATTTCTTGTCATGTGAATATTATTCATCATTATGGGTTTTATAGTTATCTAAAATGATTAGAGTGAGCAATTCTTATAAGAGGGTGCTAAAAAGTTATAAATCCAACTCACTTCTCAAATTAGTATTTTAATGACCAAACATCAAAAACTGCATGAGTTGGGAGGTGAATATGTGGAATTGCATCTGTTCCATGATTCTAGTTCATTCCTTTTGGATGGACAGGACTTCACAGTACTCTTTGCATGTCTTAAAGTGCTTTTGATTTGTCAATATTAATTTGCTATAGTCATTAAACTTAACAGGTAATTAGATGAGAAAAATACTAATTTTTATTTAGTCAAAATATAAATAAAGATAAGATGGTCTTGTTCCCAAACAAGAAATTTTCTTAAAAAATTGTTTACAGCGATCAGTATTTAATTTACTTTAATGCTAAAATACTCAGGAAATAGACATTAATAATAATAATAATAAAAAAAATCATTGATTTTTGTTAAAGACATTTCAAAAATTGTTTATTTGAACTCATTCTTTTATTAATGAGTCAAAATTTCCTAACACTATGAATTAAGATTGGAGGAGTGACAATTGAACTAATTAGTCAATAATAATAGTAATAATAATTTTTACCACTTAACTATTATTTTTATTCAAAGTAAATTCATATCTTAAACAGCAAACTGAGGGCTGTGAAGCAATATGTATTTTTAAACTAATATTTTCAAACCATATTTTAAAATATTAGTAACACTTTCTGTCGCCTATACTGTTGACTTATAACATCCACAAAGCCAAGTGGGCTCTAAATTATTTCATGACTGCATAGGCAGTAAGCTCTAGAAATAAGATCTTCAGAATGGCCAAAGGGAAGTGAAATAAATAGATAAATAAAAAAAAAACTTTTTGAATCAAGTGCTACTTAGTGGGAGAAAGTGAGAATCCTCACTGTCTGAAGGGAAGATCTGATTCATTAGTCTGGTGAGATAGAAATAGCAAAATTGTCCTAAGTGTCAACCCCCACCCCTGGCCATGTTAAGTGAAGACCTGAGTAAATAATCAAATAGATTAGAAAAGAGAATTCCCATTTTCCATTTTGTGCTGTGACATTAATTTCACTTTTCATTCTTTTATAAAAATATATGCCAGGTTTTTCTTCAGTTTTTGTGCACACTAAATACAAATGGAACATGAAGCACAAAGTGGAGTGATTTGTCCAGTTGGTGAAAGACAGAGAAGGCTGTGGGTGTATATTTACACTTCAACAATATTCAAAAGGCACGAATTCTTCAAACTTACCTCACTTTCTTCTTTCTTTTTTACCTGCATTGAAAAGAAATATAAATTGTGAGAGATAAATTGATAAATCAAAACATTTGTATAAATAAACAGATAACTGAACAGGAGAACTTAGAGTAAACTTACAGAAGGGGGTGATTTTGGAAGCCGACTGACACCTTCAAGTTGATCTTCAGCAAGTGTTTCTTTTGTCAGGAGAGACGGAGACAAGAGAAGGCTGTCATCACAAATGAGGGATTTGCTCTAAACAAAAGATAAATAATGGAGAAGAAATGTCAAGTTAAAAATTAGACCTTACATAATAAACAAAGCTGTAATTTTTATCTATCAGAATTTTCATTAAAAGCATTTTAAAATAATTAGTGTCTGTTCTGCATTTCTCTCTGGGTAGCAGCAGTTGGAGCAGCATTCTCCACATTACGTTTAGCAAATGGGTTCACTAACTAATGCCCCTTGTTCACCCTCTGCTCTCTATTTATGTTGTCATTCCCATTAGTGTATGATACTACACTTTCAATTTTTTTTACCATCATGCCAAAAGTACTCAGTTTTGGCTAAATTATTGTAGTAAAAAAAAAAAAAAAGTATCTAAATTGAGCTTCATTTAAATTTTTCAAAATACACATTTAAAACATCTATTAATATTCATTAGATGGAACTATCAATTATTTTTATCAATATTTCTTTTTTTTTTTTTTTGTTACTTTGCATTGCAATTCTCAGTGTTATTTTGTGGTTGTTAGCAGCACAGAGAAACAAAGAATAAGCTTCTGGCAAAATTCAAACTTGTATCCAACTTCCTTGGAAGGTTAAGTGTCCAGGGCAAATGTCTTACTAACCAGTTAGAGAAGCTCAAATAACTAAATAGCCTTCATTCTTGATTTTCAACTCAATGTTTGCTTGCTTACTAATGTTGGTTGAGAGTTGTAATAAAAATAAAATGAAGGAAAATACAAGTAATGGATAATAATAATTGAAAAATCTAGTTTATCAATTCTTTGTAAAAAAACAGAGCCCCCCCCCCACCACATACTATTAAACAAGTACATATGAAATTGTTACCTATTATTGATAATTCAATTATACAGTAGCCAATACACAATCACTAATAAGAAACATGGAATTGAACTCGTCTTTTTTACATACGAGATAAATTAGTTTCAAAGTTCATATTTGAAACAAATGGCCAGATGTTTGCAAAATTTTTTATACTGGGCTGCCAAATTAGTAAAAGGAAAACAATAATTATCAAACTGTTTGCATATTTAAAAATAAGTGATTGATTGTTGGTAAATTTTTTTAAAATCAATTTTGCCCAGCTATCTGTATTATTATGAGAAATTCTTTTGAAGTTGCAAGCATATAATTCTATTGCATTAATAATTTATATGTAGAAAGAGTTGCAGAAGGAATTGTAGTATTGTATGTAAATAAGATCTTGCTATAAAAGCAGAACACAGCAAATGCCAGTTGAGCTACCATCTGCTGACCTAACAGTGTCTATTCCAGATATTACTCTATCATGTTGGATGAACCAGAGCACATAGAAATGAAGTAGACTTTTTTTGCAGCATTGGCTAGGGTAAAGAAACCGAAAGTAAAAAAAAAAAACTCCAAAAAGGAGAATGAAATTATTGATTTATTTTTGGCTTCAGCAAGATGTGAAGCCATAAAGAGGATATCTATTACAGTGTACACCAAAATACTGGAAGATTTAATATATGAGGAAATTTCAACAATTATAAAAAGAAACATGTGACAAAAAAAAAAAAAAAAGCTGGTCATTGCTGAGAGAACAACATTTTTGGAAAATAGACAGAACCCAAATGAAATCATAATGCAATATTTACAAAAATTGAAAGAAGCATCAAGATATTGCAAATTTGAAAAACTGGGTTTGTGAGAAATGTCTATAGAAGATGAATTGATCCTTCTAAGATTAATTGAAGGCATGTATAACTGTTGTGTATGATACACCTAATTTACATAAGTGGAGTACCGACCATATAAATATGGGTTGGTACCGGAAGACGACGGAAGATTAAGAGATCGAATCCAGAGACTCTGCCCGACTGCGACTTAGTCAACCCATTCTGCAGGAACAGTCTTCCCAAGAATATACCAAAACTACCTGTAAATATTGTGTACCTTTTTTCATTGTTTCAATACATTTTGTTACGTACATTTTGTGTTGTATTATTATTATTCCATGCTTATTCAAGCTTCAACAATAACATTACATACAAATATAAGCTCCTAGAATGGCTACATGATATGAATTTAGAAGCAAGTGTAAAATTCTTGCAGCAATTAGAATTAATGAATAATTCTAAAAATAATGTGGGAGCATATGACACAACTGAAATCCTAATTAAGTGCAAATATTGTGACAAGGAATACAAAAGAAACAAAAACAAATGTCCAACCCTAGGAAAATTTTTAAAACTGTAGAAGAAAAGACCATCTCCAATTTGTGTGCAGATACAAAAAGAAGATAGAAAAAGTAGAAAATATAAACCCTCATACTGAAAATACAGAAGTACATTTGATAAGAACACCTGTAGAGAGACAATAAAATTGAATGGCATAACTTTTCCCATGCAGGTTGACACGAGTGATGTTACCTTGTACCCAAGGAATTTCTGAGAAAAAAATGGGTAAACCCAAATTAATTAAAACAATTTAAAACAATTTGATGAATCTGTCATCAAAACTTTAGGCTTCTTTGAAGGAACTTTTGAAACAAAAAAGTGTTTTGAGATTATTCGCATCACTTGTAGAATGCACAAAAAGTCATAAATTCCTGAGGATATTTTAAAACTCGTGTAGAATGTAAGTAAGAAAGATAGTTGCAAAACTAAAGAAAAGTGAACATGCTGCAGCCATGATCTTATAATAAAATAATCACTCGATCTATTTTGAACCGCGAAAAAATACCTATTCACATTCTACCCATGGTAGTTGCAAAACTAAACAAAATGGTAGATCAAGGAATATTGGAGAAAGTTACCCAAGGTGGTAGCTTCACCAACTGTTGCGATATGAAAACCCAATGACAATTTAAGGATATGCAGAGATTACAAAGTAGGTGTGAATTATTAGATATGCTCTGATTAATTTCCATTACCTAATATAGAAATGGAAAGTCATGAATTAGCAGAAATTGAATACTTTGCCAAGACTGGCCTGAAATCAGCATATAACTAAATAGAAATTGACAAAAAATTTAAACAAGTCACTAAAATTAATCCCCTGATAAGCTTACTAAGATGGACTCATTTTCCATTTGAAATTAAGACATCAAGCCATATTTTTCAAAAGGCAATTGAAAAAGTTCTATTGAAGAGGGTAAAAAATATAATCATATATCATGATATAGGCATAGGTGCTTATGGTAAAGAGGAATAAAAAAAAACCCAAAAAACATAGCGATAAATGCTAGTTAAATTTTGTCAAAATATTGTATTTGGGATACCAAATATCTAAAGAAGGAATATCACCAGACAAACTGATAAATAAAAGAATTAGAATTCTTTTTGGGATTGACCAATTTTTATAGCAAGATACAATGACCTAATAGAACTATTTACAGAATTATGGAAAAAGAATAAAGAATTTAAATGGACTTGAAGGCACAATAAATCTTTTGAAAGCTTAAAAACAGCACTAATAAGAAAAATGATTGTAAAAATCTTTGATCTAAAAAAAGAAGTGACATTGAATATGGATGCAAGTGAACATGCTGTAGCCACAATTTTATCTCAAGAAAGTCATCCAATAATGTGTTTGTTGCGAAAATTAATGTCAACTGAAGCTAACTACTCAAATATTGAGAAAGAAGTATTAGCAATAGTATGGAGCACAGAAAGAGCTCAAAATTTAAAGTTAAAATCAGATCACAAACCTTTAGAGTTTATATTTAACCTCAGGAAGTCACATCTAGAATTTGAAGATGGGCTATAAAACTAATGGCCTTTGATTTCAACATCACATATATAAAGGGCATACTATTTCACATGTGGAAACACTATCCAGACTAAGTTTTGACAGTAAAAAATTAGAAACATCTGGAAATTCAGAAGATAAAATATTGCACTGTTTTAAAACAGATGTGCTACATCTAAATCATCTCAGAATGGAAACCATACCAGATCCAGTATTACGTAGAATTTTAGACAAAATAAAAAGAAACACATGGAGCAATTGTTCAATGGCAGAAAGACCCTACAAAGAATCAAGGCATAAGTTAACTGTAGAGAAAGGCATAATATGCAATGGAGATGATATAATAATCCTACAAAGTTTAAGAAAAGAAGTACTATAAGATGTACATTATGATGTACATTGTGGTATAACTGTGACATAAATGAGATTAAGATTACAAGTGTGATGGCCAAGACATTCTTGAAAAGCCACAACTGTAAAACAATAAAGAACAATATTTTCAAGGAATGGTGTGCCTAAAACTTTGGTCTCAGATAATGCACCAGAATTTTCTAAGTTTGTGTTCATGGCTAAAGCATATTAGATGTGTCCTGTATAAAACACCACCCTACCACCCACAATTGAATGGAATCGCAGAAAGTATGGTGCAGACCGTGTAAATAATAATTAAAAATCAAAGATCAACAAAGGGGATAAGGCCATTTCGGTTCAGGGAGGTGTAGTATTGTATATAAATGAGATACTGCTATAAAAGTAGAACATCACAGGAAGTCTCAGTTTTGCTAATATCTGTTGACCTGACAATGTCTATTCCAGAAATTACTCTACCTCATAACAGGAAAAAATAGAAATAATATTGATGTAATATAAGAAAGTTTTGTGAACATTACATTGCACATCAAAATTTATTAACCTTTCTGAATCCTGACCATTATATCCCCATCATGCACCAAAATTTTTACAATATTGATTTAGCAAAAACACATGTCAACAAATTTCGGTGTCAGAATTCTTATTTAATACATCTGTGTTTCTTGTGTTCCCACAGCACTCTTCATGTACACAAATGAACCTTTAGCACACTACATTATTAATATTACTTCTCTTTTGATTTCATTCTTTTTAAAGGCCTCTCAATTGCAATATTATTATTGTTAATTTCACTCAGTTTTCTTTTGTTACCATAGCAGAATATGACAACACATCTATGAAATTCAAGCACACTATTAGTCAAGGATCAGAGTCACCTTCAGTAGCAGAATAAACTTTTTGTACAGCAAATGAAGTCACATACAGAGTGACAAAGGTTAAGTAACAAGGTTTATAAGGTATTTGAAGGTTATATATCCCAGGTTTAGCAATGACTAACATTCAATGCATTAATGAGAATCAATATAAACTTTTGTAAGAAACTTGTTTTATGATAAACTGAACTTATTTCTGACCTTAAGAAAACTTAATTTTGTACTTACTGTTATTGAGATTATTGCATTAACTTGAGAATGATGAAATTTTAACTACAGATCTGACAGAAACAGATCCATTTTGTAATTTTAATTGCATTATATTTTTTACCAAGATTTACTAATAGTCTATATAAATTAAAATACAATTTGAAATGAAAACTACCTCTTACCACATCTCCCTAAATTTTTCACTGCAATCAAAAGAAATTTGTGATACGACTACCACTCATTTAGTAAAAGAAATTTGCACATTTTCATTAAAAGTCAACCACTGGCGATTTTCACTATGGAAGACCAGACCCAAACATGTAAAACTATCTAAATTTAGAAAACTGCTTATAAACATTTTTCTACAGAGAAAATGCCACTCAAAGCAATTTCTTCTTTTAACAAAAAGTCTTAAACTATGCATTTATTTATTCTTTCAGAGAAATTGGGTTTTATAGTTTTTCATTCACAAAGCGGGTGATGCTATATGAAAATATTTTAACACTGTGACTGTTCTAAATAATGTGAAATGAACATTTTCAGAATACTTATTAAATTTATTGATTTGTTTATATGTACAATAACAATTATTTTTTTCAGGAAAAATTGCAATAACCAGCTCTAAAGCTAGAATAAATAAATAAGTGGAAGGATTGTGACTCCTACTTTGAGAAAGCCTGCCTTTGACTATAACTGCGAAAAACAGTTGATAAAACAATTATTAATACTTGATATATTGATTTATTTAATATGAATAAAATAAAAACTTTATATAACAATTGTGGTTTTATAAATTTTTGTGTAATATTGACATCATTCATGAATAGAATATATTATATTAGTGAAAGTCAATGTAGAAACAAAGCTTACTGGTGTTTCAGGCATCATTAAAGAAAATGTGTCATCAACAGATGGTGAATGCCATTTTGCATTCAATGACTGACGAGCTCTTTTACCACCTTCATTTAACTAAAACAGGAAAGAAAAATTGTAATTAAACATGAAAACTATAAGTCAAAAAGAATAATTATAAATAGTTCATAACAGGTGATAAAAATCAATCTCTAGTGGTGACATTTTAGAATCATGCTTTTATAAAGAAAAACAAACATAGTACTTGAGATCTAGGTTAATCAACTAAATCCAGGCAGTCAATTACAAAACCATTACTGAAACAACAATCAAGAATAAATTTATGAAAGCATGAAAGAAAAAGCTTTGGTGCAATTTTGATAAAGCATTATATGAATCATTCGAAAGTGACTGAAAGTTGAAATGTGCAATACAATTTATTTTAAACTTCAAGTAAAATCTAAAAGATTAAGTAACATGAAAAATCTCCCATACACACATTTTGTGCTTTGTGTTATAAAAACTGAAGCTATGAGTTACTTTTAATAAAAAAATTAATCAATTATCAAAAATCAGTTGTCTTTATAAGATCCTACCTGAGATTTGGCTTTGCGTTTTTGTGCAACTGGTGTGATCTCATCAGAACGAGCAGCAATTAGAGATAATTCTGTATCTTCTTTGATGATCTCAGACAATTCATCTAAATGGTTGGCAGACTGAAGGCATAAGGGACAACAGTAAAATGTAAATATAAAAAAATGAAATATTAAAAAGAAATTTAAAACTAAGAGCGCATATTTAATATTAAGGTGAGTGTTGTATATTTGTGTGAGTTTGTAAACTTGTTTTCAGTAGCATTTGTCATATTCTGTCATAAGTTGAAAGTTATTCAATGCACCATGGTTGGTTGACCTGTGTAATTGTTAAGCTTGGTTAACACACTCCACAACTGAAAACTGCCAAAATTAACTTTTGTTTTGTACTCCAAAAATGAACTTCTCTAACCCAATCTGTAACCATATACCTGTATATATTTATAATGATCCATTCCATTAAGAATAGTAAAAGACTATAACATTGAACATTATTCTCTTGCATAAAGGTGAATAGATGTTCAGTATGTTATATATACCAAGAAGCAGAGATGAGAATTTGATAGAATACAATATAAATGTATTTAATATATTTAGATTTTTAAAATATAAGACTATAGCAATAAATACAACTGTACACATTTATAATCTGTAGTAGCATGAACTGGTATTTATAAAAACTGATTTTGTTGTAGCATGAATTGGTATTTATAAAACTAATTTTGTTGTTTAAATTTTAAAAAGGTATATAAAAAGAAAAATGCAATATTTTGATAAATTTACAACAAATACACTATATATAAAAAAAAAACAAAAAAAAACTATTTAATAAAACCTAAACAATCAAACAACTTATTTTTTAATAAGAGCTGAATTATTGACACACTTATAATTGTTTCATTTTACAACATGAAAATTCATGTATTTATGAAAAGTTCATTAAGATATAGTTTCTAGAACATTCTATGCAAAACACATGACTTGGAAGAATAAAAATTTACTGGCAAATCAGATTTGTTTCTCAGGCAACTGTTACCATAGCAAAGGCAAAAGAATACAATATAGCTTTTAGAAATGTAGATAGGAAGTATCATGGTGAAGGATATGACAGTACCATCTTCTTAAATGAACTGTACATGCCATTATTAATAGCTTAGAAACTGATACTACAGTGAATAAATGTGGAAGAACCTCATTAGCAAATATTTTTTAGCACCAAGAGAATGCAGGAAGGTTTGTACAGAATAACCTTTAAATTTTAATTATTATATTAAAATTCAGTTATACCCACAAAAAGCAGCATTTTAATTGAAATGTGCTAATAATTAATTAGTTAATGAAAATCAGCTGAACAATGACTTAAAAAAAAAAAAAAAAAAAAATTCAAATCCAGTTTGTTAACTACTTTGAAACTAGCTGTATACAAAACAATTTTATAATGAAAAACAAAATACTGAAACACTGATTCATAACATTAGTTCATTTATTTATATCAATGACTATTTTTGTCACATCTAGTCAAATATAGAATGTAAAAAAAAAGAAAAAAAAAAGAAGAAAAAAAGAAAAAAAAGAAGAAAAAAAGAAAAAAAAAAAAAAAAAGAAAAAAAGAAAAAAAAAGAAAAAAAAAAAAAAGAAAAAAAAAAAAAAAAAAAAAAAAAAAAAAAAAAAAAAAAAAAAAAAAAAAAAAAAAAAAGAAAAAAAAAAAAAAAAAAAAAGAAAAAAAAAAAAAGAAAAAAAAGAAAAAAAAAAAAAAAAAAAAAAAAGAAAAAAAAAAAAAAAAAGAAAAAAAAGAAGGAAAAAAAAAGAAGAAAAAAAAAGAAAAAAGTTTCGTCTCACCTCAGTTTAGTTTACAAAAGTGGGACGAAGAAAGAATATTATCTAGTTTCAAGTGAGTAATATGAAGTACATGTAACAATAGACTGATCAACTTTAAGCGATACCAACACTTACATGGTTCCAAAAAGCTTACCATAAACTATTTAATAAAACTTTGGTAGATCAGAAATCAAAACTGAAACTAGCATTATTCATAATAAAAAGTAGCTTACAGATTTAATTGGTCCATTTCGTCTTTCAATTTCTGCTAGGAAATTCTTGAATGGCGTGGGTGTACGTGGTTTTGTATCCAAAACATCTTTGCAAATCACTGGTGTCTTTAAAACAGATTTCCCTTCACTGAAACAATATAGAAAATACAAATTTGATTATAACAATAAATTTTAAATAACGGTTGTTCAAGTTGTAATCACATAACACACAAATTATCAAATAATTATTTTAATAGTTTATTCATCTGAATAGATTGTAAAAGTTATGAATGTAAAGGTGGATAGTTTGCAAGAGTAATAAGAATTAAAATTATTTTTATAATTAAGACAAAACAGATTTAAAAACTTCATATTTTGTATACAAATGTTTTGATATCTTTAAGCTATTTAAAACTTTATGATTTGGTAATTTATATAACTGTAGAAAAGTTCCTAAAAGATAAAACCTGAAGTTTAACTTATTAATCATTTTTAAATACTTACTTTTCATTAAATTTTAAACAGGGCGTACTCAAAGTATCAGATTTACTAATGTGTGAGTTTGGGGTAACAGAATTAACTGGTGTCGATGCAATTTTCACATTAAGGAATGCATCAGGACTGTTTAAAAACTGAAATGAAAGAAAATATTACATTTATAATCTTTATGCTTTCTTTTTCAGACATATTTGAAAATATAAGAATGTTTGAAAAATGGAGAAATATTTTAAACATAGGATGCATTATTATGATTAAGAAAATATGATAATAATAGAGTTTCTGTCTATCTATAAAATTCTTCTTTAATTTATAATTCACAGTAACTATTACGTAAAATTGTTCAAACATAAGTTTGAATACTCAAACTATGGTTGCACATTTTTTGTGGTGCACAATATTGACAGTTGTCAAATGAACATTCCTAGATATGTAGATCAGGTTCTGAACAGCCACACAATACCAAGATCGATGCATTGTAACAGCAGTAGTGACTGAGCGCACAGAATCAACAGAACACATCAGAACAAACATTGTAGGATTATGGGCATGTATGCTTCTCTTCAAATTTCCAGTTAAATGATTACACAATCATACACATCTATAGTGGTGTTGCTAGAGAATCACCTGGGGATTGGCTGGTGCTCTGTAGTGATCAGTGATGAGAGTAAGTTTGTGTGCACAACATAAACCTGGGAAGTAATATCTTCCAAAGTGCATTCATTTGTGACACACAAGCCCAACCCCTGGCATAATGATGTGGGGTTTTATAAATTACAACTCTACCTGTTTTTGGTGTATAGAGAGAAGCCTGAGCTGCAATAATCAAGCAATATACAACAGAAGAAAAAAAAAAAAAAAAATTAATTACTATAGTCATTACATATTAAATAAATAGATTAGCTTACTTGCTCATGCTTAACCTAATATATCAAAATTAAAGATACCTGAGATGGAGAGAAAGGTAGATTCTTGATAGGTGTTACAGTTGGTGTCCGATTCAAATCTTTCTGAAGGATTCCTAGAAAGGGATTAAAATTCTCGATGGCTAATTCTTCATCATCATCATCATCATCTTCCTTCTTTAATTGGCTAACTTTCATATTATTGTTTTCAAGGCACTTTGGAGATTCAGGAGGTTCTTGCTTGATATGAATCACTTTACCAATATTAGGAGATTGGTTTTCCACTTCAAAAGAATAGTCAGAAGTATTTTCCTTCATCAGATCATAGGTTGGTAGCTGAGGTGACTCAAATTCTCGACATTTCTCTTTACTCTTTGGCAAGTACTGATTCATCTCCTCTTTCATTTTCTCTTCATTTGTTTGGTAACAGGATGAACGTGAATGCTGAAATTAGAGGGGGGGGGAAAGAAAAAAGAAAAAAAAAAGGCTATAAGCAAAAGTTGCTTTTTAAAAACTGTTACATCACAACACAACCTAAAAGAATTATACAAACTGCAAATTTCTCAACCCTCATACACTCCTCTACTTTAATTTCCCCCATCCTGCTAACAACAAGAAAAAATAACATTAACACAACAAAGCTCATTTTTGTGAAAATAATGAGAATGATTAATGATTCAAAAATAGAATCATAGAAAAATATGAGGGAGAGGGGATTTAGTGCATTGAACACATTGAAGAATTTGCAGCTACAGATCTTAAAGGATTTGAGGGTCCTTCATAATTTCATAAATGTAGACCCCAGAAAAAGTGTGGAGATGGCCACAAATTTTCTGCATGCCCCACACTACCTGTTGTGTGGGTTTCTTTGGGCACACAGCAAATTTTGTGTATGCTGGAAGAGGCGAATAAAGTATTTAAAACCAAGTCTTGAAACAATATTGTTCAGTGAAGGTTTCTTTATATTTGTTCTGAAGATAAATATTGCATTTTCTAAATGAATTTCAAAGACAATATTTAGATATTTGTCCACAGATTTAGTCAACCACATATGCCATTTTGTTCTTGTGTCTTTTGCCATCTTTGAAGCAGCTTCATGATTCCATCCTCCCAAATGTGGTTGCTTTCTGGCTTATGAACTAATCTATTTTTTTTTTTACAGTCTTCCAGGAAATTGAAGTTGGATATTTATTTATTTGCAACATTCAGTGTCTTGGTCTAAATATATATTGTTTGTAAGAGTCCATGAGGATATTTTACTGACAAGGTTTCATATCTTCTCAGCATATTTTCTAGTTATTTGAAAAGTGTTTCTTGACAGGTAAAACTGTTCTGCTTGTCTTTACATATCTGACACACAAACTATATCTGCAGCATTTTACCATGGCAAAGAAAGGGTGTGTTTCATTGCAGTTTATGCACCCAATAACAGCAGGAAGTGAGATAACTTTTCTTTTTTTTTTTTTTTTCGCTAGCAGATTGATTCCATTATCATATTGTTAAAGCTGATAGTTTTAGAAAGTGATTAGAATGCCATCCTTAAACCTTATTTAGAACAAAGAGAAAAAAAAAAGGGAAGAATACTTGCATTTCTTTGAATGTAAAATATTTTCAGCAAATTCATTGCTAAACTTGGTTTGGATGATAAATCTCTAATTGTTTATTTTCTGAACATTTTAATGGTGTTTTTATTATGCTACTAAATACTATAAATAATAATAAAAAAACATTTTAATTTTAAAAAATTTCAGGGTGATTAAAGTTGTTTTTCAGGATATTTCTGAGAGAAAGGTGAAGAAGTTACTCTAGAGCCCTGCTCTTAAGCACCTGGATTGAAATGCCTCAATAACAAGAAATCACTCACCTAGCGGTTGATCTGGGTTAGCAAAAGAAATTTCAGTGGGACTGGTTGTTTTCACTATAATGCCTCCATTGTGGTGATAATCCAGTTCTTTTTGTAGCAATGTGGAGTCATTGCTTAATAAAAAGGAATACTATATACATCTCTGATAAATGAAGCCTACGTTGATTTATTGCTCTCTCATGAAAGAGATTTCAGCAGTTTTTGGCAAAAGTTGAGTGAAAGTGCCATGACTCATGTTGGACGGTAGGAGGCTAACAAAGTGCCATCTTGAGCTGACTGGTTAGAAAAAATAATTGTGCTTGAGAAATACCTGTCAAATAACTTAAAGTAGAATGGTATTTACCTATTTTATTAAGCTATGATACGATGAAAGATGGCTTATGTCTCGACACTATAAACTATCAAGAATGCATGGGGTAGACTACTATTTTTCTTATAATAGAAATAAGAGGGTCTTTCCAGAATGTTTTATTCAGTGTAAAAAATCACAAAGTATAAAAATCAACTTAGAAGATTGTTTTTATTCAATAAATGATGTTAGCATCTGGAAACTTGTATTTGAACTTGGAACTAAAGGTTAACTCATTAAAACTAAATAATATTTGTATATTTGGGCTATTCCTTATACTACACTAGAGTTAAAGTGTTGACAAGCATGGACCATATTATGCAAAAATCAAAAAAACTTCAAATTTGACACCTTAAAAGAAAGAAAAAAGAAGGAAATCTACATCTCAAAGCACCCAAAATAGATCATTAAGAATGAATCATAGTTAAACATGTGAATATTTGAGTCATATGCTTTTAAGCATCAAAGTAAAATCATTCCTGAATGCTTCAATTTTCTTATTTAAACAATGATATTGCAGCAAGCAGAAATAGTTAGTATTAGGATACCAGTGCTGGTATCTTAACTGTGCAGATGATCTATTCAGACCAGCAGAGAATATAATACTGTTGACTCTTGAAAAATTCTAGCCAATCCCACTGAAAATGATATAATCACGATGATACAAAATATTTGTATTTGGTAATGTACGATTTTGGAGTAGATATCAGCCATTCTGCTAAAAACAAGAAATTTCATGTTTGCTGTACTCTTCAGTAAACATTCATTGGAAGATCTTTCTGAACAGTTAATGAAGAGGTAATAATGATGTCTCTGATAAGAAGCAAAAAGACTTATTTAGAAATATCCAGAAAATCTCAGATTTAAGATTTAAATTATAAAATTTATCTAGATATTCTGCAGTAACTTGAAGGGGATGCTTGTACAACTTTCCATATTTTGTAACCAAAAGAAAATCCTTGTTGAAATGAGTTGCAATAGGGATAGGTGTAAATTATTGACATCAAAATTATCTACTTCTTGATGTCTTGCATCTTTAGCAACTAACTTAAATCGAGCTGCATCCCATTAAAAAAAAACAAAAAAAAAAAAAAAAAGAAAAACTGTTCATTTAAATACTTTGGAGCACCAAGTCTGAAGTACTGTCCATCAGTTATTTCACAGACAAGGTATGAGGGAAGATGAATATTTATTACTTTGTAGCGGATACAGATGTGTGGTTGCTAGATAACCATCTATTAGTTACTAAAACAGGCAAACAATATATTTAAAAAAAAAAAAAGAAAAAAAAAGAAGAAGAAGAAAATGAAACAATTCATAGAATAAGAACAAACTTTAATAAAAAAAATTCAATGGCCAACAAGAGTGTAGGAATTATTTTCCCATTATTAAATAGAGTTTGTTCATCTGTAATTGCATATGCAGTGTCTTCAAGGCTGGATTATTCTCGGTTTTCAGAGAATAGAGTGAAATCTGTCTAATTCCATATGCTGGGCTTCTTTTTGTTCTAACTCAGTCCAGCATGACTAGCTTCATTTCCATATCTTGCTATCCAGTGAAGAAAAAGAGGAAGAACTTTTGAAGTAGGTTCAAGCCTAGGATTGTCAGGAAGTATTTTAGAAGTGTAATGATTAGTTTATATTAGCCAATCAATTTCTTTGTTCTGTAACAGTCTTGGCTGATGGCAAAAGTGTTAAATGTAATTTTTAGAAATTGAAAAGTTTTGGATTATCTCCCTTCTACTAGAGTTAACTTATTGTCTTTTTACCAATTATTTTTCTTTTTTAGTATGTCATACTATAACTAAATTCTAAGTGTCAATCCAACAGCAACAGGCTTCACTCACAGATGATTTTTAAATCTCTTTTGGCATTTGATCTGATCTGGAGGGACATTTTGAAAACTGTAGTAAAAGCAATTATTTGACTTGTACACTTTCCATCTCATTTTTTTTTTCAAAAAAAAAAAAAAAAAAAAGGGGTCAAGGTGGGTGCCATTATTATTAATATTATTTTTTTTTTGGTAAAATGGGAAGCACAAGAAAACTGAAAATTTTGAATAAGTAAACTATGGTTTCTATCACCAACACAAGTTACATTTTTTTTCTCAACACTACCAATACATCCATTGGAAAGCCAAAGGTCTTTATATAGGCATAGGCAATTTGGTCAAAATGATTGCCAGCATCAAAAGATTTTTAATTATTATCTTCTCAGTTTCATATTTTGAGCTCTTTACCATAACTGATATATAAAACTCATTCTAAAATGTAAGTTTTCAAATTAGTTTTGAGATTTAAAAATGGTTGAGATAAAATGTTATCATTTGAAAATTCCAAAAAACCAGCTTATGTGTTCTGTTGAAATTTTACTGTCTTTGAAGAATCTACAATTCATCATAGGTTTCACATATTTTACAATTGAAGTGATAGTCTTCAAAATATAGAGGGTGTGGAGTTTAGTAATTGATGGAGCATCAATGCACCATTAAGCTTTTAACTTTGGTAATTTGCCAACAATCCTGAGGAAACTACTGAAAGATTATCTAACTACCTTAGAACTTTTAACTAGGCACCTCCATCGAATTTTCGATAAGTTTAAGAGGAATTTAAAAAGAAAAAAAAAGAAAAGAATTCTTGAAGCTTTGATTTAAGTTTTAGTTGAAAGCGAAATGATTAAATTTACTATTTTCAATAAGAAAAATACTCTGGTGTATTTCAAACAGAAATTATATTGATTGGAATCTCAACTTTTTGGTGGCTTTCATGAAATTGGCCATTTTTGACAGATTTTGATACATTTGTAAACAAAAGTTAATTCTCAGATTTAAAAATCTTCCAAAAATAAGATATACTTTTCAGAAATTTCATTTGATTCAAATTTCATTTTAGTAATATTAGCCAATTTAAAAAAAATATTATTTACTTTAAGTTTGAAATAACAGAGAAATGGATTTTTAAAACAAATGATGGGTGAGCATCTTTTTTTATATAATTTTAAGTACTCAGTAACCTTAAAAATGTTTGAAAATATTCTCTGTAATCTAATTTCAGGAATGTTTTCTATAGTCAGCAGTCTTATTTTCTGATTATGTCATGTATGGTTGACCATACTTTCAAACAGGCAAGTTAGATAATATTTTATATACATAAAAATAATTAAAATTTGTTTAAAATAATATTGGAGTGAAATACTTATTGAGCTTTCCAGTTTTTGATTTGTAAATATAGTT